GTGTAATAATTTGACCGATCTGCCGTTACGCTGGCCCCGATTTTCGTATGATTTCGAATTTTCTGAATTTGATAGATTGAATTGATATGTGCATGACTATTGATATGATTGTTTTAGATTGCTTGATATTGATTTTTGCTATATATATGTGTGTGTGTGTGTGTGTGTTTGTGTGTGTGTGTGTAAATGATAGAATTAGTTTGTATCAAGATATCTAGATACAAAATTTGTTATGATGAGCCTCAAAGTCCTTGTTATTTTGGAATGGAGAAATACATGGATAATTAATATTACACTTGCCTCAAAACTAATTTAAGGATTTTAGACCCCCTTTGACCTATTTTTTTTTTAATTTTTTATGAATTGGTTTTATAGGAATTTTCAAATTGACATACATATGTTACTAATGCTTTAGTCCATTAAGAATTTTACTAAGATTTAATAATCAATGAGTAGGAAGATTATTGGCTGTTTTAACCATTGCTATCATTTGATGCTATTTTAACCATATTACAATAAATCATGTATCATTGGACTAGGTGAACACAAAGGGGCATAGGTTGCAATTAAAACTATTCATAAAAGTTAATTACAATGTTTTGAAGTATTTATATATGCATAGATTTATAGTAGTTAAAACTATTGCACGTCTCTAAAATTTTAAATGTGCAAATGACATATTGTAGCACTATAAAAAGCTTATATTTCTAAGTTCTTTTTAACTTGATAAATTAAAGTGCCACTTATAGTCTAAGACTACTAGTTATCTAGTTGTGGAACTCAAAATTTTAGGCAAAAAAAAGGTGAAAGACTTTACCCAAATTTTAGGGGACAGCAAGCTACTTTAATATACACGATTGTAAGAGAATCTAAGAATAAAATTTTAATATTATACATAGCTATATAAGATTTTCTCAAATATATGGGGTGAAAGCCACTCTTTGCCACCTCTTAAGCTCACCACAATTATTATCCAATTTGACTTATTTTGTTTAATTCCTAGTCTTCAATTGTTGTATGCTTCAATGAGCTTCCATGGTCATATGAGTTGACATAATGAGAAATTATCTCAACCATATGTTCTTACTTCTCCATCAGATGAAGAAGCGTGGAAGCAATTCTATTGTATACATCCTTTATTCACTGTAGAATCATACTACATAAAATTGAGATTATGTGAAGATGGCTTCACTCATTATAGTCAGCAACTTCATCATATTCTTATTGACCTATTATAGTAACAACCTATAACCTTCCACCTTAGATGTACATGACTACCTCTTATATATTTTTGACGTTTATTATACGTGGGCCATATAATTCAAAAGCAAAACTATATGACTTATTACAACCTTTGATTGATGACCTCAAATTATTGTGGGAAGAATGTGTACTAATGTATGATATCTCAATTAAAAAGAACTTCCTTTTTAAAACTGCCTTATTATGGACCATCGGTGACTTTATAGCATGTGGTATGTTATATGGTTGGAGCACTGCGAAAAAGTTAGCTAGTCCATACATGGAACCCACTAAATCATTCACACTAAAATATGAAGGCAGAAACTCATAGTTTAACTGTCATCGTATGTTCATATTTATCAATCATCCATTCAAGAGAAATAAAAAAGCGTTCATGATAAATAGAGTTGAGGGATCAATTCCTTCACTCAAATTAAGTGGTATTTAGATACTTGAAAGAGTGACTGATATATTTATTAATTTCCAATCTCTTATGTTAGCAAAGTATAGAGTCTTCGGATTTAGAGTTTTGCATGACTGGATAAAAAGTATTTTTTAGATATTAGTCTCCTAAGTTGTAATTCAATAAGACATAATTTGAATATTATACAAATTGAGAAGAATGTACGATAACAATTTGAATATGGTGATGGATGTAAAAGGCAAAATAAAGAGATAAATTGATGTAAAAAATGAATCTCAAATAGTACTCTAGCAGAAAAAAAAATCTTGAGCTAAGACACGGTGCCGAGTGCCGACCATAGATAATTTTTTTTTTTTTACTGAGTTAGTTTTAGGAATTTTCAGTTAAGTGCCTCAAAAATTTATATTAGTGCACAAAACAAAAATAAAACTTTGATAAATTAATTTGCGTGCATATAACTTATTTTCTTCTCTTCGCTTTACCTCACATTCTCTTTGTTCTTCTTGAAACTTTGCTGCTAGTGAGCGCTAGCTCCTTGGTCCATCGCCGGTGCAATACTTGTTTTCCGCCCAATTTTCCTCCAGCCGACTAACACCAGCAAAGAGGTTCGTTCTGCTGCTGCTCTTCTTGCATGTGTAGATTCGATTTCTCTTGGTCACGAAATCCATCTATCTTTAGTTTCTTGTTGATTTCTCACCATCTCCATCTGTCCAGTTTAATTTTATACAAATTTTTAGAACTAGGGTTTCAGAAAGCCATGCGAATATGCTGTGGATTGAGGAAGCCATATGATTCTTATTCATTTTTTTTCCTAGGAAAAAGACAATATGCAAAAATGGTTCCAATTAGTTTGTTTTCATTATGATTCTTTCATTAAAAATCCTCTCAATCGATCATGTACAGCAATTTTTGCTGTAGAACAGAGTTCCAATTGCTGTGACTTTTGAACTTATATCTAGTGATAAATTACAAAAAATAAGAGGTGGAATGGAAAATACACGCACTCAGATAATTGAATAGATTTGTCAATATTTTGTTTCATGCTTATTTCGAAGATGTAGTGAATTTTTTGAATATACATTATAACTTTATCTGTTTTGATCTACGTTAACCCAACTTCTTGCAATCATATAGAATTCATTTTGACGACTTTCCTACTGTTTCTTAAAGCAGCTTTTTAATACAAAAATTTTAAATTTTGTACTAAAAAGATTGCTTTAAGACGCAGTAAAAAAGACGTCCCAAACCAAACATTAATCCATTTTTATGAAGCACATATATGCTATATAACTTTCTCATATTTCTCCTACTTCCACATATAAATTTAATATACACTAATTCTTATTTTTGCAAAACGAAGCATGTGAACGGACCAGCGGAAAGAAAGTAGGGAAACAAAGAACAGGAAGGAGAAAGTAAACTTTATTATTGCATATGTGTCACGGTACAAGATATGAGTATAAATAGAAGTAAAGCTGTTAAAGAACTTAAGCTAATTACAATAGACTTTAGGTGACGTTTCATGTGGCCTAATAGACCCCCTCAAACTGAGCATTCAGCGGTTGGATGGTCAGTCTGCTGCGTAGGTCCTGAAAATGGGAAATAGGAAGTGGTTTGGTCAGAATATCGACAATTTGATCGGGCGAATTGATGTGCTGGAGAGTGAGCGATCCGTCATTGAGATGTTGCTGAATAAAATGATAATCGATCTCAATGTGTTTAGTACGGGCGTGGAACACCAGATTTTTGGCTAGGGCGATTGTCGAGGTGTTGTCGTAGTACAGTATAGTTGGATCGGTTTGAGGAATTTGGAATTCTTGGACCAGCCGGCATAGCCATAGCAGGTCTGATGTGGCAGCGGAGAGCGAGCGATATTCAGCTTCAGTGGACGATTTGGCAACTGTTGTTTGTTTCTTTACCGACCAGGAGATCAAAGTTTGGCCAAGAAAGGTACAAAATCCAGAGACAGATTTCCGGTCCAGTGTGTCCGATGCCCAATCTGCATCGGCGTAGGTGCGAAGCTGCAGGTTTCCGGGATCAATTGGTAACCCGAAATGTAGTGTACCTTTAATGTAACGAAGAATACGTTTTAGAGCTTGATAGTGTCCAATTGTAGGGGCGTGCATGTGTTGACATATTCTGTTCGTAGCAAAGGCGATGTCCGGATGTGTAATAGATAGGTACTGAAGTGATCCCGCAAGCTGCCGGTACATGTGTGGGTTGTGGAAGGCTTGATCTGCATCAGCTGTAGTAGACTTTTTCATTGAAGTCGGTGTCGGAGCCGGGCTGCAATCGGCAAGACCCAAACTCTGTAGTAGCTGAAGTGCATAATGGCGTTGATGCAGAAAGTATCCCGTGGAGGTTTTTGTAATTTGAATGCCGAGAAATAAAGAAACGTTTCCGAGCTGCTTGAGTGCGAAGTGTGAGTGCAGTTGTTTAAGAAGGAGATCGAGAGTTGATTTATCATTACCTGTGATTAAAATGTCATCTTCGTATGTGAGAAAATATGCAAAAATGTTTCCAGCTAGTTTGTTTTCATTATGATTCTTTCATTAAAAATCCTCTCAATCGATCATGTACAGCAATCTTTGCTGTAGAACAGAGTTCCAATTGCTGTGACTGTTGAACTTATATCTAGTGATAAATTACAAAAAAGAAGAGGTGGAATGGAAAATACACGCGCTCAGATAATTGAATAGCTTTGTCAATATTTTGTTTCATGCTTATTTCGAAGATGTAGTGAATTTTTTGAATATGCATTATAACTTTATCTGTTTTGATCTACGTTAACCCAACTTTTTGCAATCATATAGGATTCATTTTGGATGACTTTTCTAATGTTTCTTAAAACAGTTTTCTAATACAAAAATTTTAAATTTTGTACTAAAAAAATTGCTTTAAAAAACAGTAAGAAAGCCGTCCCGAACCAAGCCTTAATCCATTTTTATGAAGCACAGATATGCTATATAACTTTCTCATATTTCTCCTACTTCCACGTATAAATGTAATATATGCTAAAGCAAAACGAAGAATGGACTGTCAACTATAAGCAGCATAGAAACAACTAGTTGTGCTTGTATTCAATACTAAACATCATAGAAATAACACAACATTAAGTTATAGATAATGAATTCCAGGAGTTTCCTTTGGAGAGTGAAGGCTGACAAATGAATAAGATTTCAAACCTTGTTTCTCATTGCTTTTGATGAACATTCTCGCCGAGTTTATTATCAGTGGCCTCTCCTTCTATGATTTTTTATTTGTTTGCCTATTGTTTATTTAACATGTATCGTCACCCTCTGTTATGCTTATGCAATATTAGGGGTAGGGCTGCAAACGAACCGAGCCGAGCTGAGTATGTGAGTGTTCATGTTTGAGTTCGTTTATCATTAGCTTGTTCAAGTTTGGTTCATGTTTGATTCGAGCTTTATTGTTTGCGTTCATGTTTGGTTCGTTTAATTTAAGGATGTTCATGTTTGGTTCATATTCGGTTCATGTTTGGTTCGTTTAATACTTATCGAGCTTTAAGCAAACAAGCCTTAACGAGCTATGTTCATGAACATATTTAACAAACAATCTATTGAACAAACAAACATTAAATTTGTTCGTGAACATCTTAAACAAACAATCTAACAAGCATAGACAAATGTGAAATGTCTTTTGTTCATAAAATTAAATTTATAATAAAAGCAATTATCTATTTAAAATGAAAATATGATTACTCTATATGAATATATTCTTAAATGAGGCTTACCTATTGCATTTCTCTTCATTCGAGCTTTTATCGAGCTTAATATCGAGCTTGTTCACGAACATCAAATGATGTTGCTTGTGAAAATAAATGAACCGAACACATTAGTGTTCAAGCTTGTTTATTTAAGGATTGAGTATTTAAAATGTTGTTCAAGTTTTTTTGTTAAGTTAGTTAAACGATCACAAATGAGCTTTAATCGAACCGAGTATCGAGTAGCTCGTCGACCGGTTGGTTCGCTTGCAGCCCTAATTAGGGGCTGTTTGGTAGCACCTAGTATTTGATTTAAGTAGGAATTCGTAAATCCCCTAAATCCGATTTCGAAAATCCTGCGGGGCCTAAATCTCGAAAACAGTTTGGTAAAATTCATGATAAATCCTATTAAATCCCGTGCGACTGTTTGGTTATAGAGCGGATTTAACGAGCGGATTCTTCCTCTGGAGCCAACGAATTTCGTAAATCTGGCAAAAAACTAGGATTTCAAAAATCTGGGATTTAGCACAGAAAGGCGAAATTTTCCGTCTATGGAGGCTTTCATTTGCCGTGAGATTTTATTTTGCATTTTAGGCCGTTTGGTTGGATTTCGCTCAAATCTGCCTTAAATTCGGCCTAAATTTTTCTACCAAACAGCCCCTTATTGTTTCGTTATTATTGTAGTTCTTCTAACACCATTAAAAGGTACGAGAAGGTAAAGAATTGAAACAATAATCACGGTTAGTAATATTACAAAACTATAGAAAGATAACAAATCTATGCAAATGGATATCACCCAGAAGAACTACAAGAACCCAACACTCAAATTATTGTTTATTTTCAAGTTATGTTTACAAATCACAATTATGTCTGGCTGTTTCCTTCATTCTTCATCCTTAACCAACTTCTCAACCTATAGGTGGTTTTGCAAGCTTGAGGGTAAGGCAGCTAACACACTCTGGAAATGCAAATTGAGATTTAGGTTTCGTTTGGGAGGCTTTTTTACTGCTCTTAAAGCACTTTCTAATATAAAAATTAAAATTTTATACTAAAAAGCTGCTTTAAGAAGTATCAAGAAAGCGTTCCAAACGAAACCTTAATATACTGCTTAAATTTTCAGAGTCTTTCTACAATTTTCTAAACCTAAGTGGTGGATAACCATTCAAGAATCAGGAGTTGTAGAAGGAAAACTGAATGAAAAACTGAAGCACAATGAAATTCCCTTAAGTACTGCAATTAACTACTAATTTATCATTTTTTATACATCAATATTAATCATTTAGAATCAAACCATTAAATTGTTGTTGTTAAGGACTACAAATAGCATTGAGGTGGTGGAGAGGCTTTGGTTAGTACACTACAGGAAAACGGCTCATTTCCGACAGAATTTCCGGCGGAATAAAATTCCTCACAAATTCCGGAGGATTTCCGACGGATTTTTTTCAACGAATTCCCGACAAAGTTTTTGACTGGTTTTTCGACGAATTTTTTCTGAAGGCATTTCCGGCGGAATTTTCGACGGAAATTAAAAATTAAATATTTTTTATTTTAAAATATAACTTAAATTATTTAATTTAATAACTGGCTGGGGTGGAGCGCGGATGGGGGGAGCAGCGGGAGCAATAGCTCCAACGCTTAAAAATTTTTCGGAAAGATTTTTTTTTCTTGGCATTTCGGCACATAAAAATTTCGACGGAAATATTTTTCCAGTGGAAATTTCGTCGGAAATTCGCCGGAAATGTTTTCGGCGAATTATTTTACACCGGAAGTCCTTTTACGACGCGCGTGAAATCGGCGAAAATATTTCCGCCGGAAATGCAATTTTCTGACGGGTTTTGGCCATTTTCTGACGAAAATGGCCGCCAGAAAGTGACGTTTTTCCTGTAGTGGTACTAAAACTGAGCAATTAATGTATTAACTATAGAATTTTACAAATATATATGCGTAGTAATCCATATTCATTATATATAGTATAAAATGAAGAAAATAAGTAGTCAAACATCTCAATCAGAAGATGTTGAAAGAGATGATATATTCACAAAAGTTCTTGGAAGATAATGGAAGTATTTATAGAACTCATGTTGCATGGTCTTATGCTTTGGTAAGTTTTTTTTTTTTTTTTTTTAAAATATCATAGCATGTTGGTTAATTTTTTTAATTATCAAATTACTTAATTTGGTATCGTTAAAATGATTCAGGTTGTTGGTGAAGAAGATTGACAAGCAACATTATGCACCAATTTATGGAGTTCGTGTACATTTGCACGTGTTTACATATATGAAGAAATTAGTTTTGAAAATGTAGGCGGAATTTGATTTTTTAGTCGTTCATTTTTCGTATTCTTTAATTTTCAAATTACTTAAAAGTAATTCTTCATATATATTTTTCACGTGTATAATTTTTTCATCAAATTTTATGGAAAAAAGTTGAATGTGCATGGATCATGGATGTCATTTGGTTGCTATTTCCACATTTTTTCCCCATACTTTAATTAACAACTGCATGATAGCAAGTGTAATTCTAGTTATAAGAACACGGGCTCACAGTTTTTTGTGACAAGACATTCCTTTCTTGGATGTTGATAATAAGTAATCTAATTTTTTTTTCATATTCTTTCTTCATGTTCGATCTCAAAATCTTATAAAATAACCTTTTTTTTTCAAATTTAGAATCCATTTAAGATATATTCTTAGGCTGTCATACTTCAATTTAGTTGCTATTTTTAGAAAATTTTGCATGAGCTCACTAGCCTTCATGATATATTTCTTATACACATTAAATTTGTATGTTGGAAAATATACAACAACAATAACGACATCAAGCCTTTATCCCACTACGTGGGGTCTGCTATATGAATCTTTTTTCCTGCCTTTTGTCCTTTTAAGAGTCAAATTCTCATTTAAATCTAATAAAAAAGATTATTTCTAATATTTTATAACCATATCTTTTTAGGTCTAACCTCTATCTTTCTTAACATAAGCCAAATCTAATATATTTACTCTGCTAAGCAGGTCATCGGAAGGCTGTTGTTTTATGTGACCATATCATATAAGGCGACTACTCTCTCTAATATTTTCTTTTGTTGGAGATATTCCAACCTTTTCACATATATATATGCTCATTTCATACACCGTCTCTAAGACTAAAACTACTCATCCACTTAAGCATCATCATCTCTGCAACATTTAACTTAATATTATACTTCTTTTTTATTGGCCAACATTTTGCACCATAAAGCATTACAAATCTCACCACCATCTTATAAAAGTTTCCCTTAAATTTGAGGGGACTTTTCTATCACTCAAAAAGCCCAATGCATTCCTCCACTTCAACCATCTAATTTGAATTATACTAATAATGTCCTTATCTTTTTCACCATCACTCTGAACAGTAGACCCAATATATTTTAAACGTATACACTTATTAATGATTTGATTACCCAAAGTCACAATCCCCAAACTAGATCTATTACTAATAAAATTACACTTCATATATTCAATTTTAGATCTACTCAAATGAAAACCTTTAAACTCTAAGGTTGACATCTATATTTCAAGTTTACCTTCAACCCCCTCTCTAGTCTTATCAACAAGAAGAATATCATCAACAAAAAGCATACATTAGTGTACAATCTCTTATAAATGTCTAGTGAGAACATCCACGACTAAAGCAAAAAAAATATGGGTTTAAGGATGATCTTTGATGTAATCCAATTGAAATAGGAAAGTAGCTGGTCAAACCACCTTGTGTTTGAATACAAGTAACAACCACTACAAATATATCCTTAATTATTTTAATATAAGTGATACGGAAAACTTTGGTGTCTCTTATGAATGTTACACCCCCTCTCACTTATCTGATTGTGTGCTGGATCTTCGTACAACGCTAAGACGTTAAACTATATATTTCTCTACCGCCGCGAATATTCCAGGACGCAACAATAAGCATTATTAACCACTTTCTTTTCTAAAACTATCCATAGCACTTCTCTTGGAATTTTATCATATGCTTTCTTTAAATAAATAAATATCATATGTAGACCCTCCTTAGTCCCTATGCTTCTCCATCAAACCTCATGTTGGAAAACACAAGGTGGGTGGCAGTGGCCGAAGATCGGTGGAGGCTAATATCGATGGGTGGTGCTGGCCGACAATGGTTGCCGGTGGGTGGTGGCAGTGATCAAGCGAGCAGCTTGTTTGTGATGTAAACGATTCTTGCTCAAAACTGAACGAGTTTAGTTTATCTCATAAATAAATAAAAATAGTTTATAATACAGTTATTTTTCTTGGCATTCATTTTTCATCTAGCCAAACACAAATATTTTCAAAACCCCTGCGATTAGAATATTTTACACCCATTTTACTTCCAACCAAACAACCCCTAAATGAGATATGGAGCCCCATGATCATTTTCTTGTAATTTTTTTTTACTATATTGCTTTCTCTCCATTCTCTCACACGATTCGGGTCAAATCCGCTAAAATTTGCCTGCTAGTAAGATAGGGTGTTATCCCCTGACAAATTTGAATTTAACATAAGAATCTTGATCCTTTGGATCATTTTGTTCAACTTCCTCCTCTTTGCTTTGTGCTGTTTAACAAGTTCTAAAATATGACATATTTTTTGTTCTGCCACAAAACTAATAACGCTTCACATATTGTTATATTGTTTTAAAGAAAATTGTTAGGGCTGTATGATTTACCGTCCATAACTATCTTTGATATAAATGCTCATTTTTTTTTCTTACTTTTGAAAAAAAAAAACATTATGGATGCTCATGAGGATAATAATTAAATTTTCATCCACATTTTATCCCCCAAATAGAAGTAGCTAAAAGAATACTGAATAATATCTTGTGATGTTTGGTAGCAGAACACTTAGAGATGTATGATTAATTTACATCTTCCAACTTTTGAATTTGCATACAATCATACAATCTTGCTTGAGTAGACCTTCTCATGGGTCTTGCATTATTATTATTATCTTTATTTTTTTATCTAATCTCTTATGTCAAAAAAAAAAAAAAAATTACATACATAAAGATATTCAAAATTTTGCATAAATATCTTCAAATTATAGTATTTCATCATTAAAATAGCTACAAATATTTTCATTTTTTCATTAATTATAAAACAAGCATGTGATTTGAACTTAAAAGCCAATGTTTCACATGTCATAATTTTAACAATAGCATGATGAAAATATATTTGTGTTCACTTTTAGGCTTTATTTAGGATGGTTTCTTACTGCTTCTTAAAACAGCTTTTCAGTACAAAAATTTTGTATTAAAAAGCAGTAAAAAAATCTTCTCAAATGAAGCCTTACGTTGTCCAATAAATGACTTGATATAACATATTTGATTTCATGTTATCTATCAGCATAAAATAATTAGATTAGCCATGTTAATGTTGTAAAACATTACAATGGTTTCTTCAATCATATCAATTAATGCAAAAAAATTAGTAAATTGCAATTTCATTTTTTGTATCATAAGATTTTGATGTTAGCATAGAACATTAGAAAATGAAGGCTTTTGCAACATTTTTTTAATTGAATTATAGATACTCTTGATAAAATCTGTCATTATTTTAAAACTATTGAGAAATATAATATTTCTAACTCATGAAAGAATTCAGTAATACCATCCTCAATTGAATGATAAATAAGTGTATGTCATCCGCCAAGCGATTCAATCAAATAAGAAATTGTTCGCTTCACACTATTTCATCTACGCACCAAAAAAAAAAAAAAAAAGCTTACAGGATTTGCGGAAGAAGCGCACGAAAGAGGAGAAAGGCAATTCCTTTGCAGAGATGAAGAAGTGCGAAATAGAAGAATAAATGGAGTTCGATTGGAAATAAATTACTGCATTTTGGAATGAAAAAATAGTTTTTTTTCATTGAATATGCCCTAACTAAGATCACCCATGTGAATCCTAATGTTTTTAAAATTTATACAAGATAATATAAATGCCTAGAAAATATGAAATGAGCCTTAAAAATTTTTATTTAATAAAAATTCAATTCAAATAAAAATATCACTTGGCCTATGTTGTATTTATATTTTATAAATTAATTATATTCTTTAATAATTTAATTATATTAAAGAATAATATGTATTACATAAAATCAAAATTATATAATAAAACGAGCCCTACATAAACCTCATCACCTTACAACAAATTTCTTTATCTGGACGGAATGGAAATCCACTGGTTCGCACCAAGCTGGCTGGTGTAAAGCGAGCGAAGAAGCGCAGCTCGAATTTACTTACACTTATTACTCTGATTGGCATTGCTGAAAGAGACAATGAGAGCAGTCAGCTCTTGCCATGCCGCTGCCGTTTGCTCTCCGATTGCTTACCGGAACCCTAGCCTTCGTCCTACTCGCTGCGTCTCCGTTTCTACTGCCAAACCCGAGGTCGACGATGAGGTCTCATCCGTGGTTCCGCTCAACCGTCGGCGCCTCATCCTCCTTCGCCATGCCGAAAGTGCAGTGCCTGATAGATTTCTCAGGGGTGAGCATGCTTCTTTTTTCGGGCCATTTTATACAATCTTCTTCTATCCCTTTGTGATTAGGGTTTGTCATTCGGTGATGTAATAAGTAGACCTTCGCATGCTGGGCAATGATGTTTTTTATTTTTATTTTTGGTTATAGATCATGATCGCCCGTTGAGTAAGACTGGCAGAGCGGATGCCATGAGCATTTCTCACAAGCTCCACCAGATGGGTTGGATTCCGGAACTCATCCTTTGCAGGTAGGAATCTAGAAAGTTCTCGAGCATCTATAAACGTTCACATTGTAGTAGGATTGCGCTATAATTTTATTTGATACGAGGAGATATATATGGATGCTCGTCTAAATTTTTCTATCATGGTATCACGGCATTCCAATTTGATGATGCGATGTTTCAGCATTAATAAGGCATTACTCAAGTTTATTATTAACGGTTTGCGATCATTGTTTTGCTGTTGAAAGAACTAGGAAACTGTTTGGAAAAGTTGCGACAACCCCCGAAGCCGTGCAATTAATAATTTAGAACCTATGCGGTTGTCTGTGTATTAGTTGACGGATTTAATGTTGTATGTCATCACATTTATAAAAGCATTATTCTGGAGGTGGTATCATACCTACTTAATACCTTTTATCCGATACTTTAGAATGCTTAAGAGAATATCCCCCTGTTTGAAAACTAGTTGAATAAGAGACTTAAGGCCCTCAGAACAGATTGATGCTTTGCGTATCTTTAAAATTTTTTTTTAAGCTTATGTTATGAGAAGGTTATTGCATGCCAATTAACTATTGCTTACACTCCATAACAAGATGGCGCTGCATAGAAAACGGATAAAATGTTGCTTAACATGGTTGGATCTATCATGATTAATGGATTCCTTGTTAATGGTGATCTACAGTTGAACTTTTATGCCTTCAGAATCCATCCAAATAATGCCATAAGAACAATAGATTAGAAGGATGTCAAATCTAAGTAGCTTGTGATCCAAGTATTTATCAATTGAATTCATGCTCAATGACACTAATATGAAAACCTGTATCTTAAAGGCAAAAGTGTTTTTTATTAGGTACTCTAGATAATTGCAAGGTTTTGTCTTCGTTGGGGAAGAAGAAGATGAAACCATCACCAATTAAGAGCTTTGTGATGTGGGCTTTCTACAGGATAAATTTTTTAAGAAAGTAGGTGTTACAAACTAACTAAAAACATCTAATTTTATAAACTGGATGGCCAAATATATTCAATCATAATTTAACTAGTATGATTGTGCTAAACTGAATGACCAAATATATTTGATCATGATGTAACTAGTATGATTGTGTTGTATCTAATGGGGATAATATGAGGAAAGTTTGAATAGAATTATGTCTATAATTGAGCCAAGCCTAGCTGAGTATATCATGAATTGGACTTGGTTTGGTAATGTTATACGTTGTTCATGTTCGATTTGAATTCAAGTTGAGCTTTCACATGTATTTTCATACTGGGCTTGTTTGAAATTTTGAATAATAATAATTTACTTGCCTAAATTAATTGAACCGATATTTCAACAAACTAAGTTAAAAATTTGAACGAGCATTTTACTTTTTATATTAAGTTATTAGCAAATAATTTTATAAATCTAAACAAACATGCAATTGAATTAATTTGAAATTAGAATCTAACTACTTCACACCAATTAAATAAGATAATATATAAGTTGCGAGCAAGCTTTCTTGGAATTAAATGATATTAATTCAAATTATTACTAAAAATGAAATGATTAATCAATTTCGCCATCATCATTGGCTTTATGCTAATTATTTTCAGCCTTAGACAGGTTGATTATTCATTTTCTTTTCACTCAATGTTCCCAGCATCCAAATAATGCCTTAAATTGTCTTAACAAATCCTAAAATGGTCAATCAACTTACTGAGGAAATAAGTTATTAAAGTTTATACAAATTTCATCCATCAACAACAAAAAAATATCAAAAACTGATAATAAGTACAACTATTTGGAAAATCTTACATTGGTTTAGTGAAATCCAGAGAGTTATTTTATTTACATGATTTAAGGGCTTTGTGATTTCTTTAGATGCTTCAATTAGATGAAACTCTTATCGATTTCTTCCCCTTCAAAAGCTTATGTTGATTTCTTCCATTGGTTATGCTCGATGAAGCTCTAATCAAATTTTCTCATAGCTTGGGTAGGGATGAATGGTTTTGCAATTTTGGGTAGGAGTGAAAGGAGAAAAGATGGAGTGACTCGTGAGGTGAAAGGGCATGAGACGGTTTAATAAATGGGAATGTTTTTATAGGAAATGGGAAACATTTATTGATTAATCTATGATTAATAAATAATCTTAAAATATATATTAACTAAAATATAATAAATAAACATATATTAATAAAATAAATATGCAATTGATAATTAATCCTAAAATATTATTGATATTAAGTGTAAGATATTGATATTAAATTGATAATTAATCAAATTCTATTAATCAAATTTTATTTAAATAATATATGAGCTATCATTGAGCTTAATATCTAGTATTTAACAAGGTAATTATTGAAAAACAAATGCGTTTTTGTGAACATAAATAAACAAGTTAGACCGCGTTCATGTTTGGTTCATTTAATCGTTTGAGTTTTCAAAAACATTCAAACTTATTTAATTACTAACTTGAACAAAAGTAAATGAGTATTAATTGAGTCGAGGTCAAGTCGTTCATCAAGTGCATTGGTTCACTGATATCCCTAAATAGAATCAAATCAAAGTGAACTTGATTAGATCAAAAGGAACTTTATTTAGAGGATTAACTATGTTAGAGTGTGCACATGGTTGAATCCTTCAAAAAATGCTTTGAAATAGAGTGGAGGCATTCATGGTGATGCCACTTGATGATGAATATCCTAAGATAGGCTAGAAAATTTTATATGGGTTAGATTAAAAAAAAAGTGTGATAGTAGTAGAATAAATGAGTTCTATGAGAGTTAAATGATTTTGGGATTTGGTTGACTTGCTGCCTAGTAGAATAAATGAGGTCTATGGGAGTTAAATGATTTTGGGATTTGGTTGGCTTATTGCCTTGTTTGAAAATTGTTGGGAGCATGTTTGTTCTCAAATTGAAGAAAAGCATGTATGGATTGATAAGTCCTTAAAGGCATGCATAATAATTGACGGCTTTACACAATAACTTGGATAAGATTATGTCACATTTTCACCTTTACTCAGAGTAGCTTTAGTTGGGATCATTCTGGTTAGCGTGGCTTAATTATATAACTATATAAATGAATATAAAAATGATATATTATTTTTCTAAAGGGTGATTATGATAAATGCATTTATATGAAAAAAACCAGCCAAATTCATCACCAAGGGCATGAGAAAAAAGAAATTTTATCTCCATATGTCTATATTTTTGACCTCCATATATGCTCTGAAAATTAATTAATGTGAGAAAAGTGACAACGACTGATAACCATTGGCAGACAAGAAGCTACAACAACAACAACAACAACAAGCCTTTTTCCCACTATGTGGGGTTGGCTACATGAATCCTTTTTCGCCATTGTGTCCGGTTAAAAGTCAAATTATCATTTAAATTTAATAAGGAAAGATCATTTCTAATATTTTCTAAACAAGTCTTTTTAGGTCTACCTCTAACTTTCTTAACATAAGTAAAATCTAATACCTCAACTTTCCTAACCGGGTCATCGGAAGGCCTCCGTTTAATGTGACCAAACCATTTAAGGCTACTCTCTCTAATCTTATCTTCGACTGGAGCTACTCCAACCTTTTCACGTAGATGCTCATTTCATATCCTATCTCTAAGGGTCAAGCCACTCATGCACCTAAGCAACCTCATCTCTGCAACACTTAACTTAGTATTATGCTTCTCTTTTAATGGCCAACATTCGGGGGGCTTCAAAAATTATGAAAAAAATATTCATAAAATAAATCATTTTATTTTGAAAATATTGGTTAAATCAATTTGTAAAATGGACACCTAACAGTTCTAAAATCCCCACTTGTACCATTAGGTGTCAATTTCTTTAGGATTTTTACCAGTGTCCAAAAATTACATAAAAATTATTATAGTAAAACACATTTATATCTATCTTATGGTGAAGATGATTTTCAAAATTGGCTTAAAATGAATCATACAACATCAAGCCTTTATCCCACTATGTGGGGTCGGCTAGATGAATCCTTTTTCTCCATTATGTCATGGTAAGAGTCGAATTCTTATTTAAATATAACAAAGAAAAGTCATTTTTAATATTTTCTAATCAAGTCTTTTTTGGTCTACCTCTACCTTTATTAACATAGGCCAAATATAATACATATACTTCTCTAAAAGTGTCATTGAAAGGCCGGCATTTTACATTACCAAACCATCTAAGACGACTCTCTCTAATTTTATCTGTCATTAGAACTACTCCAACCTTTCCTAGGATATGCTTGTTTTGCATCTTTTCTCCAAGAATAAATCCACCATCCACTTAAGCAGCCTCATCTCAGCGACACTTAACTTAATATTAAGCTTCTCTTTCAATGGCTAACATTTTGTGTCATAAAGCAATGTATGTCTCACCACCATCTTATAAAATTTTCCCTTAATCTTGTGTGGTACTTTTCTATCACACAGCAAACCCGAAGCTTTCCTCCACTTCAACCATCCAAATTGAATTCTACTAATAATATTCACATCTATTTCACTATCACTCTAAACAATATACCTAAGATATCTAAAATTACACTTATTAATGACTTGATCGCTTAGTCACGAACTCCCCACTAGATCTATTACTACTAAAATTACACTCCATGTATTTGGATTTACATCTACTCAAATGAAAACCTGTAGACTCTAAGGTTGACTTCCATAATTCGAGTTTACCTTTAACTCTCGCTCTAGTCTTATCAACAAGAAGAATATCATTAGCAAAAAGCATACACCAAGGTACATCATCTTTCAAATGTGTAGTGAGAACATCTATGACTAAAGCAAAAGGATAAGGGCTTAAGGCTGAACCATGATGCAATCCAATTGAAATTGAAAAATTCTTGGTCAACCCACCTTGTTTTTGAACACAAGTAATAGCTTATGCATACATATCCTTAATGACTTAAATATAAGCATTATTAACCCCTTTCTTTTTCAGAACTCTCCATAGCACTACTTTTGAAACTTTATCATATGCTTTCTCCAACTTAAAATGACTCCCAAAAAAATTATTTATTTAGGTCAAAATAC